CGGAATGTGCAGAACTGCGGAATTTGCAGACATGCGGAATTGGGAGAACCGCGGAACTTGCAGAAGAAGAAAATGTGTCTATCGATTTCAAAAACCGCGGAATATGCAGAAATGCAGAAGGGTCGCGTCCATTACGAATATGGCATTCACTTTTGTCGCTGGCGCTAATGGATTACACTACGATCACCACTTGGGCTCAGCCTTAGCGGAGCGCAAACAAAAGTGAATGTCATATTCGTAATCAGGATGTTAAACTACCCCTATATACAAGTTTTTAGCGGATTTGGTGACTTAGGCAATTTAAAATGAGCTCGGTGCCGAAATTTTCTGGAGTCCAAACGGCATGCGGAATGTGCAGAAATGCCGAAATGCAGAAATTCCGCTGGTGAGGCTAAGCGATCAATCCCCTCATTTCGGCATTTCTGCAAATTCCGCGGAATTCAGGAGAAATGCGGAATTGCAGATTCTGCATTTCTCCCGATTCCGCACGACGGCAGGAACAAGCGATCGATCCCTATCACTTCTTTGTCCGTCATTTCGGCATTTCTGCAAATTCCGCGGAATTTGCAGGACGGACAAAGAAGAAAGGATAGGGATCGCTTCTTTGTCCGGCATTCTGCATTTCTGCGGCAAATTCCGCGGAATTTGAAGAAATGCAGTTTTCAGATCGATACGTATATATTTCCTTTCTGCAAATTCCGCAGTTCTGCATATTCCGCATTTCTGCATCATGTATGAACGCGGCCTAAACGCTTTCCGAATATGTTTTGCAGAACCTGCGAGACCCACATCGATTTATAATTTGAAATATCGTTTGTATTCTTGATTGGATGCTTTTTTACTAGTCTGACTCGTATTATACTTCTTGCGCAGGTGAGAATCGCCCATTAGTGTCCGCCTTTGCACGAGTATTCATTCCTTTTCCACAGAACAACACGAGCAGCGGATTGGAGGCTGTATTTATGCTTTGTCCGAGTATCATTTGTTTTCCAATCAAAATTCTGATCAATATCAAACATTGAAAACTTCTTATGTAATATTCACCTAGGAACGATCGTTTTTGAGACGCTTTGGATGAGGTTCACTTCTACAGGTCTACTTTTGCAGCGACAAAGATTTCCTTGCACTCGATGAGCCCCCTCAGATATAGCGCTGCGAATGAGTCTAGCTCGTGGAAGATGCGTTATCTGCACATCCAACTTCACTTCAAATAATATCTCAGCTTTGCACTGTGGCCACACATTTCACTTTGTCTGCATCTCTGAATGGGTCAAGGTGAGTCTTTTTTTCCTTTTTCCTAACTGTTTGTTCATGTTTTCATTTGTAGCGCTCAAAAACCTGTCCAATATGTAGAGTGACAACAGCTGAGAGGCATATCGTGAAGCATATATACTTCGACAGCGCCGATGACATTTCCGCTTCTCAGACGGAAACAAGCAGTGCTGCCAAGGTTGTTCAATGAATCGATTGAGATTCAGGTTTCGCTCTTTTTCCAAATGGTGACGACATTTACATCATTTTAGTACTTAGGCAGCGTTCAGACTTCGCGACGGCAGCGCTTTGGTCGCGCGATTCGACGATCGATGCGCATGCTTTCTGCATCGATCGCGTCGAACGCGCGACCGAAGCGCTGCCGTCGCGAAGTCTGAACGCTGCCTTAGGCTGCCTTCATACATTGCAACAGCGTTTTTTTTCACAGGGGGGGAGTGTTGCCCAACGTTGTCCCGCCATAGATGTTAGAGGAGCGCCGTTTTCTAGTTAAACGCTCTCCTTGCCATGAAAGCATCGATGTTGAAAGTTTCATCGCATGCTCAAGCGTAAGACCTCATAGCCCTCCCTTAGCCTTCTGCGTAATGTCTACCTCAGAGGAAAGCATAAATTTCCAATCTGATTTATTTATTCGTTCTGGAAATTGTAAGTTCAGGTAGAAGCGCTTTCGATAGCTCTTGAAAAAGAGAAAAAGGATCATCTCCAAGCTCAGGAAGAAGTGCTGAAGCTCAAGAATGCTGTTTCTAACCTTGAGGCGAAGGTATTCGTTTCCATTTTCTTTTTCACAATAAATTATGTGGAACTCGTTATGTCCTTTTTTGCGATTTCGAATAAAAAAGTTTCAGCTTGACACTGAAAAGAAATGCTATCGCGAAAAGATTCCATCATTACAAGCTCGAAATCGGCAGCTTGAGATGATGTTGGTTGACCAGCAGGAATTGCAGAAGACCCTCGAAAGAACGAAAAGTCGACTTCAAGCATGCGAATTGTATGTTTGTAAGCTCATTTTAAGTTTTTTTTCGTACTTATAGCATGGGGTCATGGTCTTTGTCAAGTTCTTGCGAGAAACTAAATCTTTGCTTCCTGAACCTAAACCTTCTGAAGGCATTTTTGATCATTTCAAGGCGATAAAGACGGAATCTGTTATTAACAGCCAATTTGACCATACCAAAGCTTTTGTAACTTGATTTGATGTTGGAGATTTTCGAGAACTTTTCAAGATAATTACAATTTCATATTTCAGCTACAAAGCGGTCACGACCGCGAAAGATGACTCGGCGATGGACAAATATCTCAGGGATGACGGCGGAGTCGAATTTGGGCAGTTTCTCAAAGTATTGAGAGGGTGAGATTTTTCAAAAAAGGCTGACGAGTCTGCTTCCACGGGACCACGTATTCGTTTCTTGCTTGGTGCGAGTTTTGTTAGTGAGCTTATACTCTCAACATAGCACGGGAAGGAGGTTGCGCTGTAAGGTTGGTCTAGTCACAATGCGGGGCCTTGGCAATCTCCGACATTCGCGAGAGGGTTTTGGTACGTATCGATCGGGCGAGTCGGCGAACCGAACTGACGAATCCTGCACCATTGCGAAAACGTTTTGAAGCACATCGTTTAGGAGCTGGCGAAACGGAAGAACCACCGAATCGTGGCGCGATCGCCGATTCTCCCGTGCCAAACCTTTCGATAAGATTTTAATGCGGTTCAAAATCCGCATCCGCTGAATTCGCCTGAATCGCTAACTGTAATGACTAGCGGAAGAGGTAGTGTCATTGTATGGGTCTTGTTAGGATGCTCTGTAGAAGTTATGTGGCAAGGAGAAGAGAAAGAAGCGGAGGAGCAAGGTTGAGGAGCAGAATTATATCCAGTGCGCGCATGGTGTGCGTCAGGCCAATCGGTTGTGCCAGTTCTCCAACTGAGTGGAGTCGACGAGAGCGATCCGTATGAAACTCCTCTTGATTTCCCCATTTGCGGATCCTTCAATTTTTCAGTGGAATGGTAACGCTGTCGCTGTTTCCGAGCCGCGTGTAGATCGTATCAATGGCTACAAACGGGTGAGATGAGGATGGAGCCAGGCAAGAGGAAGAGCATGGCGAGGAGCCTGCTTTAGGGCAGTTGGCTGTAAAACGCGTAGACACGCTGCCGTTTTGCAGGATGTAGTACTTCGCTACTTTTCCGAGTACCAACACTGATTTTTCGCCAAATATGTTCTTTCTGGCTCTTCTCACAAGCTGTATTCATGTTGTTCAATTTTTATCTCCTTCAAAGGAGAAAGGTGAGGAAGTGGCAAGTGGGATGATTAGCACGCGCCTGGGCCAGGGTTCAAATCTCGGAGTAGTGTTCTTGTCTACTGTAACTGAATGGTAACATCCAAATGGTTTATGTCAATTAAAAACTTTCAGTTTTCACATTACTGTTCCTTTTTCAGGCAGCTGGAAGATTCACGAAAGTCGCAGCAGAAATTGAGAGATGATTTGTCGGCTGAACGAGAGTTAGTGAGAACTTTGAAGAAAAAAGAGGACGATCTCAAAAACATAGTCACCGTATGTAGTTTTTTATATTGAAGCCGTTTGTTTTCTTGTAATTTCCGCTCATTTGCAGGCTCTTGAGAAAGAACTTCGAGATGTTCGCTGTGCTGCCAATATTGACTCCACACCTTTCAATCCGAAACTGAGAGGTCTAGACCTGCGAGTGAGGTCAGTTTGTGGCTTAGGTTCCGGGATACAGTGCCGGATGGAATCATAAGCTTGGTATCGATGGGATAGCTTTGAAATTGGGCCTCTATTATCCTTGAAGGTTTCGAGCTCGAATACATTTGGCTCTTCAGATTCTTTTGTATGCTTGGACCGTTTCGTTAGGCCAAGAACCCTGCCCTTAGACCTGAATTCCTTTCTTTCCTCAAATCGCGAAGAACGGTGTAGTCACAAATTCCGTGATCTTATGGCAAATTTGGCGCGAGAGTCGTACTGCAGCGCTGCTCTTGTGAGTAATTGGTCCGGATCGGTCCGACTGAATGAATGCAGTGGCGTTCAAAAAAAGCAGGAGAACACAGTAAGTAATCTCCCCTGCCAGCCTCACTGTACGAGTTTTCCGGACCTGCTAGTTTGACGCTTGGAAAGGCGATATCCTGCCGCCTCTGGCTTTCTTGGCGTCATCCAATGTTGATACCATCTAGCAGTGAAAAAAGTGTAAAAATCGAACTCGTGACAGACAATAGCCTTTGAGTTTTGGTGGTGCGTTACAACAAAGGAAGGCGTTAGATCTACCCCTTATGAGGGCCGCAGCGCCTTCGTTATTTACTGTGAAGCCGCTGAAGTGGGACAGTTTCAGAGACTCCGGGCCAGATTACTTGCAGTAGGAGAGAGACCTGCGAATTGATTTAGCGCGGGGAACCGCCTTTGAGTTTACTTTGTTTTCTCGTTGCCCTGGGTCCCATCCCCTGTAGGTGGAAGGACTTAATTGCGCAAATGTCGAAAACTCTCACGTGTACCATTTAGCCCTCCAAAACGTGATTCAATGGGTTTCAATGTATCGGTGGAAATAAACACGAATGTTCTTAATTCAGCCCTAGGGCGCCGTGCGAGAGCAGTGAGTTACAGTTCCATATAATTGGTTCATTTTTACAACATTCTTCGTATTCTTTTTTACACAGTATTTTCTTATTATGCTTTAGGTGTCCCCTCGAAGGAGGCCTGATAAAAGTCCGGTGCGTGTACCAATCTTTTTGAATCTGTCAGATGACGATGATGAACAGCAACCTGCAGCAGCCGATGTTTCACTCCAATATCCTGCTCAGTTGGATACCATGTAATATTCACGGCATTTCAAAATTTATGTGCAATTTATGAAGTTTCATTGCCAAATCATTTCAGACCAAGTCCTCGTATCCCGAAGACGATGCGGGAGCGTATGCTCAATGGTTAGTTATTGTTGGTATTGTCCATTGCGTCCCTCTGGTTCACCGCTATGTTTAGGCGGCTCGGAAAATAAACGTCCCACGGGGCTTGGTGGAGCTCAGGATGCCCCTGCAAAAGCTCTGGTTGAACTTGAGATCAGGTAATTGAATTATCAACTTACAATTTGAGGAAGAATCGCTGGAATATAATAAGTCTCAATTTCTTTGAAGGGCGAGGGGGGGGGGGGTAGAGGTAGTCGGGAGCGTCACGCGGCGATGCGCCAATATCACATCTTGTCTTGCCTTTCTGCATATTTTTGGAGGCTTGAACTGCCTGTGGTGTTAGGTCTTTATGGGACGCTTTGTCCGTGCTGTTCACCAGAATTATCGCGCCGCTACAACTACCCTTGGCTTTATTTTTTACATACCACTTATAGGTCTGAAGGACGTGCTTAGATATAAAGTTCAGGTCTAATGTTTTTCAGGAACGCCTCTGCTAATACGATGTCAAGAAAGCCACTTGTATTGAAGCGAAAACTCGATAAAACTGATCCGAATAACCAGCGTCTTTCCCAATTCTTCCCAAAGCGGAATCCCACCGATGTCATTGTTTTAGATGATTAGCCGGTGGTCGTCAAATCCGCCTCATTACAGCTTATTTACTAGTCTACCTCACTCACCTAGAAGTTTGGGTACTGTTACTTTATGTGGTATGATTTTCGAATGCATTTTTTTCTTGTTGCCATGTAATTTCCTAGACAAAATTATGCAACTTGTTATCACACCGGTAAACGATCTCCATTCCTTTACCATTGAACAGTTTGTTTTTTTTTTCATGGATTTGCCTACGTTTTAGAATGAAGTTTCGTTGAAAGTCTGTCGTGTCAAGACTTACACAGTGCTCCAATCGTGAGGCAGTCTTGAAAGACCTATTGTGGTTGTGAAGTCGAAAGAAGAATTCTCATATCATTTAAAAGCTGTTCCGAATTTTTACGGGGATGTTCATCATCGTATTGTGGTGATTCGGTGGTTTTATATAAGCATTTGCAAGTTATGGATAGAATAAGAACCGAGTAAGCTTGAGGATAATTCTCGTAATAAGTTTGCAAGTCCATGCAGCGAGTGCGTTCACGTATTTCTATTTCTCGACTAATGTCACGTTGGCAAAAGT